AGAGAGAGAGAGAGAGAGAGAAAGAAAGAGAGAGAAAGTGAGAAACAGACAGAGAGAAAGAGACAGAGAGAGAGAGAGAGAGACAGACAGACAGACACACAGACAGACAGACAGAGAGACAAACAAACAGACAGACAGAAAAAAGTCTCATCTACCGTCTCTGCTTCCTCTCCAGCTCGTTGTTCCTGGCCATGTGTTCCTCCAGGTGCAGCTTCATGTCCTGTGTCTCCGTGGCCAGACGCTGGGCCTTCTTCTTGGCCACCTGGACCTGCCGCCGCTGTTCTTCCGCCTCCGCCACTGCCTCGTGAAGCTGGGGGGAAGGGATATCATAGTTGTGCAATGTTTATGTTCTCATGAAAAGACAATAAACAGATTAATAATAATAACAACAACAATAATAATAGTGATGATGATGATGATAATAATAATAATGATGATAATTAAGATAACGAGCGTTAAAGAGAGAGAGAGAGAGTGTGTGTGTGTGTGTGTGTGTGTGTGTGTGTGTCAACCCCTCCACTCACCCTCCTCTCAAGCAACTCTTGTAGCTCTGCCTCCATCTTCTCCTCTTTCTCCTTTTCTCTCCCTCTATCTGACCCACATTTCTCTATCACTATCCTAGACTGTAGCTCTGTTTCCATCTCCCCCCCCCCTCTCTCTGTTACTCTCTCCCTCCTCTCAATCAGCTTCCTAGACTGTAGTAGTTTCCGCCGCCATCTCTCTCTCTTTCTGTTTCTTAGTCTCTCTCTCGCTCTAATCTGACCCACTCACCCTCCTCTCAATCAGCTTCCTAGACTGTAGTTCCGCCTCCATCTCTCTCTCTCTCTCTCTCCCCCTCTATCTGACCCACTCACCCTCCTCTCAATCAGCTTCTGTGACTGTAGTTCCGCCTCCATCTCTCTCTCTCTCTCTCTCTCTCCAACACTATCTGACCCACTCACCCTCCTCTCAATCAGCTTCCGTGACTGAAGCTCTGCCTCCATCTCCTCCTCGTGGTGTTGCTGCATCTGTTTCTTGGTCACCTGTAGCTCCTTCACCAGACGCTCGTAGCGCGGCTTGTACACAGAGTCATCTGGGAAAACCACACGCGTTCAACAGGTCATAATTAAAGTTTGTCCATAAATGTCTTTTTTTTTTTTGAAAAGGAAAAAAACAACACAGTCCCCCCCCCCCCACACACAAATTCTTTTCAAGATATTTTCAAAACGCACGCGTGTTCAACTAACCCCATCAACACAATTTAGATCATTTAGGAGGTGGGTCACTCCTACTCTACTTGCCAGGTGCAACCCGGGTTGAGAGGGATATAACAGTCCCAGGAGACAAAGATACTTGATGACAAAAGCTTCCAACCCAGGATTGGAACTCATATATCCTGTGTGCAAGGGTAAAGAATCTAACAGCAAACCACATACACTGTTGAAAAACGCACTGACTAGTTGCCCTCAGTGTTGTGTGAGTGTTGATGCTATAAAAGGAAACTGCTCTACCTGTGCATAGTGCAAACAATTCTCATCTCCATTTTACACAAACACACATACAGATAAAGACACATACACATGCACACACACACATACACACTTACAAACAAGGGAACATATAATAACACTAATCAACACCCTAACACACACACACACAAACACACACAAACAAGACAGAACAGAAAAACTGTCATCAAAACCCTAACACACACACACACACACACAAACAAGACAGAACAGAAAAACTGTCATCAAAACCCTAACACACACACACACACACACACACACACACACACACAAACACACACACACAAACACAGATAAGATAAAACAAAAACAAAAAGTGACAACCATCAAAGCCTTACCATCCTTCTCTCCATCCAAATCCTCCTCGGCAGCCTCTGCCTGCCACAGTCGTGTCTGCATCATCTCCATCTGAAGTTTCTCATTCTGTCGCTTCAGAGGAGTGAACTTGTTCTACACAACAAAGACAAAAAACCAAACAAAAACAAGCCATGTTAGAGATGCCATAGCAACGCTACATCGTATTAAAAAACAAAAAACAACAACCACCCCCACCCTAAACATGTCTGAATTCGTTAACTGCACAGCAGAAATATTTTGTTTGAGTTAAGTTAGAGGGAAGCACACTGAGACAGTTATGGTCATTTGGTGCAGGTAAAAAGTAAGACAGACCGACAGAAACGACAGATGGAAAGAAAAGAAGTAGGACCTACCAGTATCTCTCACGCAAGCAATACAACAATCATGAACTCAGATTAACAAAGGCAGCCAGACAGAAGAGATGTCATTTCAAATAAACCCAAAAGTGATTTCTCTCTCTCTCTCTCTCTCTCTCTCTCTC